TGGGTAAAATGATGATTCTCCCAAAGATGATCTATATCTTCAGAATTCTACCCATCTCTATCCCTCCCTCCCTATTCAAAAACCTCCAAATGGCCCTATCACATTTTGTATGGAACAACAAGAGACCCAGATTGCCCTTATTCCTCCTTCAGCAACAAATGTCTACGGGTGACTTGGGCCTCCCAAACCTTCAATTGTATCACAAAGTAGCCTCTCTGGAGGCAACAGTAAAACTTCATGCACCATAGGTGCACCTTACAATGGGCAGACAAAGAAAGCGGTGGGGCTCCTGGAGGCAGTATAGTGGACATACTATGGGCACCGAAGGAGCTCCACCTCAAACACTTGAGCTTGTCCCCTCTTATTCTGACAACTCTACATGCATGGAATCACCTACATGGCATACAAGGGCCTCACTGCAAATATCCACGCACAGCATCCATTACTATGGCACAGTGATTTTGCCCTGGCTTTTGTTGAAACAATGGAGCCACCTGGGGGCTTAAACATAGCAAAGACCTATATGTGAATAACGATTTGCTAACATTCCCAACACTGCACACTAAATTTGCCTTACCGTACGCATTAATTTTCCCCTATCTAAAACTGAAAAGCATTCTCCATAGCTATTTATATCAACCGAATCAACCAAACACTTCTCTGGGTGAGGGAATTACTCTTCTACACAACAGATGCAGACATAACCCAGTTAAAGGGACACTCCAGGCTCCCAGACCACTTCTGCCCATTGGAGTGGTCTGGGTGCCAACTCCCACTACCCTTAACCATGCAACTGTAAAAATTGCAAGTTTCATAAACTGCAATATTTACCTTGCAGGGTTAACTCCTCCTCTAGTGTCTGTCTACTAGACAGCCACTAGAGATCACTTCCGTGTTTATAGCACATGAAAAGTGTGCTATAGCGTCGCTGGACGTCCTCACGCTATGTGAGGGCCTCCAGCGCCACCGAAATCCTCATAGGAAAGCACTGAAAGCATTTTTTTGACAAGGACTTTTAAATATATGTCTTAATGGGAAACAGAATGCGACCAAGCACTGACTGGCCCTGAACGGAGTGTTTCCCTTACAGCATTAAGGGGTGTAACATCTTGTTATTCCCACATGGAATCCCATAGAAAACTGCTCTATTGCTGGTACTATACCCATTGCCGATTGCATAAAATCTAATACGCACTGTTGGAGGTGTGGAAGGCCAGAGGGGACAATGTACCACACCTGGTGGGACTGCAATCTGCTCCAGACGTTGTGGTAGCATGTCTGCTCACTTTTTCACAATCTTAAATTAGATAATATAACTGTTTGCCGGACTCCTGCCTGTTTCTTAGGTTTACCGACCTGCCGACCCAGCTCACAAGCACTATCTTAGCAGTCCACAACCTTATACCCTTATCTTGGAAGACAACAAACTGCCTGACATTGAGCAGATGATGGACAAAATCCACCAATATTATCTATATAAGAAAGTATCAACCACCACATTAAAACAAAGCATATGCATACAACAAACTTGGGCCTCCTGGTTAGCCCTCAGAGATGATGGAAAGAGCGCATACCAGCCATAAAGCTCTATAAAGAGCACTCGTCCAGCTCTACCTTCCCCAAAATAATGGACCCACTACATACAACTTAATTAATGGTTTAGAAAGTGATGCAAGTGATCTAGGGGGACATACTGTATGGTGACACATACATATGGGGTGATACATAGTTGATTTCACCTCCCCTCCCATTCTTCACTTTCATCCCGCACATCAATAAAGTGGCAAACACACATCGATACTACAACTACCAAGTAGTATTGTAACTGAGTAACCTGTAACCCGAATGGGTACCTCCGCCAAGGACCGCTTCTTAGCTGGAACAGGGAATAGACCGCAGCCCTTCTGCCCACAGTCGGAGTGGCTTGACTGGGGTCCTGGAACCGCTCCCTCCTGGATCCGAATGGGGAAGTCTAGCCCCCATCAGGCACTGGACAACACTCAGTCCTGGGAGCTCTAGTCCTTACGAGGACTATACCCGTTGAATCCTCCATGCTGGAACAGTGATTAAAGAGTAGCCATTTTCCCTCCCAGTAACCAGACAACACATAGTTCTGGGAGTACAAGCTGGAATACCTTTATTGGCAACCACAACAGGCCTTATATGCAGGTCCCCATGCAAGGGGCACTCCCCCCCTGGACCTGAGAGTAGACAGTAAAAACTTACACACAATTACATTGGCTCTCAGGTCCAGGACACTCCCATACAAAACAAGATAATCCCTCCCCTGTGCCTGGGAGATAATTGAGTCAAGCACTGTATTAAACTCAATTATCTCCAAGCACAAAAAACACACATTTCCCAAACACCCCAAAAGTACCTTAACCCCTTAAGGACACATGATATGTGTGACATGTCATGATTCCCTTTTATTCCAGAAGTTTGGTCCTTAAGGGGTTAAAATTACATAAAACCCCACAAACCCCCCCCCAGATCAGTTCAGGGGTTCAGGACTGTAAAGGATCCTTCTATTCGTGCAGCGATGATCCTTGCAGCTTCTCCCGAAATCCAGCTGAAACGAAGTGATTATAACTCCCAATCCCCCAAACATGAGTCGAGACTTCATGAAGGGGTAAAACGATCTGATTTACTGTGGGCTACCCGCCCGGTATTTATGCAGGTCTTCCACCTGGTGGACACTTCCCTAAGGGACCAGATGGAAGACTGGGACAAAAGTAACACAGTAGCCAATCACAGTGGCTATAGCATAAGCACTCCCCTTTTACATAAATCACTCCCTCTTTTCCATCCTGGAGATAATTAACTTAAGTGAGTAAAGAGAGCCTTAATTAGCTCCAGGTAGAAAGAAACATGGCTTTTCTTATTTTAGCAAAACAGCATAAAAATCTATAACTTACATTTTACAGAACATAAACTCTAAGTCCCACATATCCCCAGATAGCTTGGATCTGAGTGCATATTCTAGGCGAATAGTGCTCAGATCCCACGTACACAGTTCTCAAAAACGTCGACTGAAGTTTCTCTTTCGCCAGCCGTTCGCGTGATTGTAGCCGACAACAAGTTCCATACTTTAGCTATCTGGGGTCGGTCACTTTCGCGTACTTCCAACGCACGAATGAGGTATCATCTCCGGCATTCGTGTGTTCTTCCACCGTATGAACGAGGATCTGAAGAGGTAGCAGCGGTGTTCGGCAAAATAAGTATCCGAAATTAGTTCCAGGGTATCGTCGCCATTTACCGCTGAGCGGTCGACAACCCAAAATGGCGATTGCCACGTGTTCGGTAAACGAACGCGGACCACCAGCTATTCCCCAATTAGTCTGTGGTTAACCGCAAAGTCTGGGTGGTTAATAGGCGCCACACAACCTCAGTGGGAGGTCGGGTGGTTCGGTAGTTCATTCGTTTTTCTCGCTATTTGCACGAAATCACTCTGTACCCATCCAAAACACCGAACAGGCTGGTTCGCATGGTCTGTTCAATAAGGGATTTCGTTACAAGGAATTTCCTGGAAGTCATAATTTGACCGACCGCACGCATGTTCCCATGCCCAAAACAGTTCCAGAGAATCAGGGCTTGCAGTCGGTCTAGTTCGGTAGTTTAAAAACGGAACAAACTACCGAACATAGTTAATGTTCTTACCCTGGAGCTTGTTCCCATTATTCATGGGAATGTTTCCACCGAACAGCGCCTTTCTAAGTGTTGTAGAACCGAACCCAGGCGATCATGGAAGTCCAGCGGTGTTCAGGAGTTTTAGCGTCCAAAAATAGTTCCATGAACTCGACAACCAAACACTGCTGCCTGGTTTCATGCGAACAAGATGGCCGCCACCTCATGGTCGTCCCTAAAGGACCACTATAGGCACCCAGACCACTTCAGCTTTATGAAGTGGTCTGGGTGCCAGGTCCAGCTAGGGTTAACCCTTTTTTTTATAAACATCGCAGTTTCAGAGAAACTGCTATGTTTATATTAGGGTTAATCCAGCCTCTAAAGCCTCTAGTGGCTGTCTCATTGACAGCCGCTAGAGGCGCTTCCACACTTCTCACTGTGATTTTCACAGTGAGAAGACGCCAGCATCCATAGGAAAGCATTGAGAATGCTTTCCTATGGACGGCTGAATGCGCACGCAGCTCCTGCCGCGCATGCGCATTCAGCCAAAAAGGAGGAGGAGGAGAGTTCCCCGCCCGGCGCTGGAGAAAGAGGTAAGTTTAACCCCTTCCTCTCCCCAGAGCCTGGCGGGAGGGGGATCCTGAGGGTGGGGGCACCCTCAGGGCACTATAGTGCCAGAAAAACTAGTTTGTTTTCCTGGCACTTTAGTGGTCCTTTAAGGAATTGCGGCCACCCAGACGAACACTTAGAACACTTAAGTGGAAATTGCTACAAAGTAGCAATTAGGCTTAACAAGCTCCCGGGTGGTCTACGGATTGTTCAGTTCCCGAACCATATAGTGCAAATACACGAACGGAGACTTTTACATCACATTTTACAGGGTCCATAGTCTGTGGGCAGGAGGCTGGCAAGCAGGCTCCTCCAGGAACTCGTGGCAAACTTACTTGGAAAGGGGAGTTTGTCACATGTACCACCCCACAAAACATACCACCCTTCAGCTGCAGCTCAGCTTCCAGGAATTTTACATGCAAGGCATGACCGTGACTGACCTTACGTCATGGCTAAGAAACCACCAATCCGTGTTTATGCCCTCTAATACCATGTAACTTTGCAGCAATACCATTTGATGTGCTTTTTCTCCCTATATGTATTCCCCATCTCTTTTCTGTACTCCTCATTTGTTGAAATCAATAAACTTTAAATGAGAAAAAATTTTAAACCTGTTTAGTAGTGATGTCCCAGTTCGCGAACGGTTCGCCACGGACTCATCATTGAGTAGACTTTGACCCTGTACCTCACTTTCAGCAGACACATTCCAGCCAATCAGCAGCAGACCCTCCCTCCCAGACCCTCCCACCTCCTGGACAGCATCCATTTTGAAGCTGCATTCTTAGTGAGCTGTCCAGGAGGTGGGAGGGTCTGGGAGGGAGGGTCTGCTGCTGATTGGCTGGAATGTGTCTGCTGACTGTGAGCTATAGGGTCAAAGTTTACTCAATGATGAGTCCGTGGCGAACCGTTCGCGAACCGTTTGGCGAAACGTTCGGGACATCACTACTCTTTAGTTTACAAAAACGGTGCATCAGAGGGGATATAATAACATTATACAAATTTATCCGGGGTCAATACAAAGCATTGTCTGGAAATCTATTTACAAACAGGACTATACAGAGGACACGAGGTCATGTGTTTAGACTGGAAGAAAGAAGATTTAGTCCAATGAAAAGAAAGGGTTTTTTTACAGTAAGAACAAGTGTTTCTATCAGATTCCGTACAGATGTTATAACAGCAACTAGATGCATACTTGATGTAATCTTTCAATGTAGGGTAAAATCTTCTTGATCCAAGGATAAATCTGACTGCCATTCTGGGGTCAAGAAGGAATTTTCTTTTTCCTACTTTGTTGTTTTGCAAAATTGGAAGTGGTTTTCAAGCTGGGGATTTTTTGCCTTCTTTTTGATCAACAGCAAAAAACAGATGTGAGGAAGGCTGAACTTGATGGACACGTGTCTTTTTTCAGCCTATGGAACTATGTAACCAACGTACAAACCCTACACAGAAGCAGCCAATGCAGAGACCCAAGAGAGATAAGAATAAAAATGATCAAGCACTGAAACTATACCTGAAACAGTAAGCGAAAAGCAGGTCTGACATCATCTCATATCATATGCAAAAATAATAAGAAGAAATCATTAATCGTAAAGAATTTCAATTGAGATTGTTTAACAATACAGACACGTCCAACCACTACTAAATCACATAGTAATGGCCACTGCTATTCAGTGAGTAGATATAATAAAATATCATTACATCATTAAAGTACAGTTTGGAAGAATTTACCTTGAATCCATTTGGGTTCTGGATCGTAAATAGAAAACTCTTTTCTAAAGAGATCTTCCAAGGTGAGGCTACTTCCAGAAGAGTTTGGGATTTCTTCTGAATAAAACATAATAGAAAAAAACAAATTAGTCATTTTTATCAAAAGACAGGCGTGTGTACTGCAATGCATTCAGGTCTATGATTGATTTAAAGTAGATGTTTCATAAATACGTCTATTTGTTTGATTATAGTATTGGATGGGGCTTGACCTCTCATTGGGACAGAACAGTCCAGAGGATTAAATGGGAAAAGGATAATATTTCAGGGGACAGAGTCAAATGAAACAGTATAACATTTTTACACATCATCAGTAGCTATAAATTCATTTCATTTTCACATAGTGTATCGCATGATATTTAGTGCTGCAATCTCATGTTTAGTAGAGTGTCACATATTGAAATATTTATGCACATTCACACACTATTTTATTCCATTTATTTCTGTGCATTCACACACTGTATATTTTATTCCATTTATTTATGCACATTCACACACTGTATATTTTATTCCATTTATTTATGTGCATTCACACACTGTATATTTTATTCCATTTATTTATGTGCATTCACACACTGTATATTTTATTCCATTTATTTATGTGCATTCACACACTGTATATTTTATTCCATTTATTTATGTGCATTCACACACCGTTTATTTTATTCTATTTATTTATGTACATTCACACACTGTATGTTTTATTCTATTTATTTATGTTGTGATCTTTGTCTGCAGGTAGTACGGTCCTCTAGGGCAAAAACATGCACAGTCTTTCAATGTAACTTCATTCCAGGCACTTTATTTGTAAGTTCACACAGGATACAGCAGTAAATGAAAACATAAATGTAACAGGTTTCCCTTTAAACAAAAACCTAGCTCGTCTGAGCACTGACTCACTTTGAATAACCCTCTCTATCAGGGTTAAACTAACAAAACATACTGCACCAACCTTTTTAGATAGCAACACTCTGCTAGCTAGCCTGTTGCTTTTCTTTCTCCGCTCCAAGCCAGCCTTGCCCTGACTGCTTTCCTTTCTGCACTCCTAGTGCTCCAAGCCAGCCTTGACTGCTTCCTCCTGCACTCCCAGTGCTCCAAGCCAACCTTGACTGCTTCCTTTCTGCACTCCCAGTGCCTAGTCTCCTTGACTCTCTATCTAGAGAGAACAGCCTCTCTCCTACCTGCTTCCTGGGAGGAAGCCAGCAATCCCTCTCCTTTTCCTGCCTAGCCGGGAGGGGTTTATTACCACTGTAACAGCTCATTTACTGCAGCTGAGCAGTGGGTTGGAGACGATCCAAAAAACCCTGGCCTGGATCCATGTCTCCCCAGAAAACCACTAAACTGTGGAGTGGAGCATTGGCCCACCCTTCTCTCCAAATACTCCACCCCAGGGGCCCATAACTAAACAATGCTTTGTGTTGCCTACAACACATCCTACACATACTCCCCCTGGGGTTAAAAGGCCTATCTGCCTTCACTTTATCACAATGTGCATTCTCACACTGTGTATTCTATTCTATTTATTTCTGTGCATTCAAACACTGTATATTTTATGCTATTTATTTATGTGCATTCACACACTGTATATTTTATTCTATGTATTTATGTGCATTCATACACTGTATATTTTATTCTATTTATGTATGTGCATTCACACACTCTATATTGTATTCTATTTATTTATGTGCATTCACACACTGTGTATTCTATTTTATTTATTTCTGTGCATTCACACACTGTATATTTTATTATATGTATTTATGTGCATTCACACACTGTATATTTTATTCTAGTTATTTATGTGCCATCACACACTGTATATTTTATTCCATTTCTTTATGTGCCATCACACACTGTATATTTGATTCTATTTATTTATGCACATTCACACACTGTATATTTGATTCCATTTATTTATGTGCATTCACACAATGTATATTTTATTCCATTTATTTATGTGCATTCACACACTGTATATGTTATTCTATTTATTTTTTGTGCATTCACACTGTATATTTTATTCTATTTATTTATGCGCATTCACACACTGTATATTTGATTCCATTTATTTATGTGCATTCACACAATGTATATTTTATTCCATTTATTTATGTGCATTCACACACTGTATATGTTATTCTATTTATTTTTTGTGCATTCACACTGTATATTTTATTCTATTTATTTATGCGCATTCACACACTGTATATTTGATTCCATTTATTTATGTGCATTCACACAATGTATATTTTATTCCATTTATTTATGTGCATTCACACACTGTATATGTTATTCTATTTATTTTTTGTGCATTCACACTGTATATTTTATTCTATTTATTTATGCGCATTCACACACTGTATATTTGATTCCATTTATTT